TGGTGTTGGCCAAGGATGACCTTCGCCGGCCGCAGCACTTCCTCGGCCTCGGCATCCACGCCTCGTCGAAGGCACAGGTCGACCAGGTGTACAAGGACAGGCTCGTGGCTCACGAGCGCGCCGCTTTGGCGAGCGGGCTGCGGACTGACCAGATATACTGCGTCGTGCCCAAGCGCGGCGCCATGGAGGTGCGGCGGTTTTCTCCGATGGGCTGTGGCGACCCGTCCCTCCTTCCTTCCTTCCTTCCTTCCTTCCACCCTTCCTTCCTCTCTGCCTTCCTTCCTTCCTTCCTTCCTTCCTTCCTTCCTTCCTTCCTTCCTTCCTCCTCCTTCTCGTGTCGCCTGCAGCCCCGGGGGGGGCCGTGCGCGGAGGTGCGGGGGGGCGTCCCTTTTCACAGGGGCGCCGACGATCATGTCAGGGATCTCGGCCCTGACATGTCGGGCCGCGAGAGCCACGCGCTCATAGGCTCCGTCGGCTCCAGGTTCCTAGAGAGCCTGCCGGCGCCAGAGCCTCTCGAGGCAATTTGGGATGCAGCGCGCAAGTGGCCAGGGCGCGGCCACCGCGTGTACGAGGTTGCCTCAGAGCAGTGGGCGCCCGCGGCGTTGGCCCTCGGTCTGCCGGAGTATTGGTCTCCATCCGAAGTCACGCTGCTGGTGTACCCCACGCCTTGTGATGCGAAAGGCTCTTGGGATGTGCACCCAGCGCGGGGGAAGGGGGGGTTGCGATGAATTGGGTGCTTTTTTCCGTGCCAGCGGCTGGATGGCGTAACCGATGGAGGAACCGATGGCGCAATGGATGGCGTAACCCGCGCCGCCACTGAAGTTCACTTGTGGCGCGCCCTGCGGTGCAACTCATGGCGGGGGCACGGTTGCGACTGCGAACCCATGGCGCAACGTGTGGCGCAATGATTTGCGAATCATATCGTGTAATTTGCGGCGGCAGCCGGGTTGCGACGTTTCGGTTGCATTCTCCCCAGCGGGGCGGCACGGGCGCGGCGCGGAAAAAAAAAAAAACTCCCCAATTGCAGCAAACGAAACATTTTTCTTCCAAGGCGTCTCGCCGCTGCTGGAGAATGGGATGTACAGCTTGGCTGTGTGCGGGACGTCCACCAGGCCTTGGTAGGAGGGGGCGGAACAGGTGTAGGAGGAGGAGGGGGGGGAGGAAGACGAGGAGGAGGACAACTACAAGGAAAAGAAAGAGGCGGGAGGGGGGGGGGAGGAGGCGGTGGAGGAGGAAGAGGAGGACGTGGACAGGAGGGGAACACGACAAGGAGTAGAACCAGGAGATTGTCAAGCGAAGCGTTTTCCAGGAGGGGCGCCTCGTGGTTGTGTGTCGGTTTCAGGGCGGGGCGCGTGAAGCTGTTTTTATGTCGGATCCGTGCTCTCGGCCCCCCCCGCGACTACCACAAGCATCGCTTCGCGTCTCTGGGGGCTGGCGACCGCCTCCTCCTCCCTCCTCCTCCCTCCTCCTCCTCCTCCTTCTCCCCTCCCCTCCTCCTCCTCCCTTTTCCTCTTCCTCCTCCTCCCCTCCTCCTCTTCCGCCCCCTCCTCCTCCTCCTCCTCCCCCACCCTCTTCTTCCTCTTCCTCCTCCTCTACTCTCCTCCTCCTCCTCCTTCTCCTCACTCCTCCTCGTCTCCCCCTTCAAAACTCTTAGCCGTCCCTCCGCATCCTATTCTTCCTCCTACTTCGCCTCTCCGACCCCCCTCTTCTCACCCTCCTCTTCCTGCTCCTCCTCCTCTTCCTCCTCCTCGTCGTCGTCGTCCTCTTCCTCGTCCTCCTCCTCCTCCTCCCCCCCCTCCTCCTCCTCCTCCTCCGGGTGCCACCGCCGACGGTGGCGAGCGGACAGTGAGAGAAATTTTCGCTCGCACAAGCTTATCCCTGCTGGCATTAAGAAGCGTGGGAGACCTTCCAACCTTAGCTAACTTTCGTCGTGGCCTGGCCCGTGCACATGTGACGCCCGCACGCTGGCACCCGCCCAAGACAACATCACATCATCATTCCTGTCCTTCTCCTCGCCCCCTCTGCTGAAGCAGATTAGGAATATTTCTGACGTATAACTCGGCCGTCCTAGGGAAATGCGGCCGACGTGTCGCAACCCAGGTTTTGTCAAACCCAGCCTCGGCCCCCTCCTCCCCCTCTTCCTCCTCCTCGTCCTCCTCCTCCTCCTTCTCTTCCCCCTTCTCCTCCTCCTCCTCCTCCTCCTCCTCCTTGTTTTCCTCCTCTTCTCTCCCCTCCTCCTCTCCTCCTCCTCCTCCTCCCCCTCCCTCCTCCTCCTCCTCCTCTTCGCCCGGGGAAAAATGCGGCCCGCCCCTCGAAGCCCAGATTTCGCAAGGCCAGCCTCGGCCCACTCTTCGTCCCCCCCCTCCTCCTCCTCCTCCCCTCCTCCTCCTCCTCGTCTTGCCATCCTCCTCCTCCTCCTCTTCCGCCTCCTCCTCCTCCTCCTCCTCCTCCTCATTTCTCTCCTTTTCCTCGGCCCAGGGAAATGCGGCCAAACTGTCGCAACCCAGATTTCGGCAAACCCAGCCTCGGCCCCCTCGTCTACTTCTTCTTCTCCCTCCTCCTCCTCCTCCTTCCCCCCCTCCTCTTCCCTTTCCTCCTCCTCTTCCTCCTCCTCCTCCTCCTCTTCCGCCTGCTCCTCCCCCTCCCTCCTTAGACTGTGGTGGAACCCGCTCGGATGCCTTCTGGCCAGTCGGAACAATTTTGGGCCGACCCCGAACCTTCTTAGGTTCCTCTTGCGCCGTCTGGTAGCCTTCTTGGGCCGTCCTGGAACCTTGTTGGGCGCCGCTTGAGCCGATTGGCCGATGTTGGAGGCTCCTCGGGCCGTCCGACACGACGCGTTCTCAGCGCCACCAGCGCAACTTCCAACAGGAAAGCCACCGCCAGGGGCGCATTATCATCACAGACATCCCGGCTTGAGCTGTCCAGAGCACTCTCGCACTCGCCCTCGCGGGGGCGCCGACTCGACCAGCCGCGCCACCGACGCGCGATGCCGCCTGCTGGAGAGACCCCCAGCGTGAGCCAGGTGGAGGAAATGAAGGCGGGCTTGGTCGTGTCGGGGGCCGAGCGCACCAAGGCGACGAGGACGCTGCGCGAGTGGGCGGACAAGGGCCCCGCGTTCACGTGGAACGATGAGACTGTCAAGACCATGGTGGCTCTCAAAGCGCTCGGCGTGGCGTCGATCAGGCGGGAGCTGTTCGACCAAGTGAAGACCGATTACAAGCGCACGGCCACGATCGGTAAGGAGTACGCGTGCTGCTACAAGAGTATCATGCCTTTGGTCCCAGACGCGGCGAGACCGTATCTGTGCGAGGCCAAGGACCTGGAGGACTGGCCCGCGGGGGTGTGCGCCGAGTCTGTGTGGATCTTCCGCCCAGGCTGTCCTAAGGACGGCGTCTTGATCGACTACTTCTTCGTGAAAGCAGAGATGGTCGCTACGCACCGCGTTCCCACAGGGTCCGCCAGCTCGGGGCTGCGCTTGGCGGACGGGGGCGTCGGCGGAGGCCCTGCCGCGGCGGCCGGGGGCGGGGCCGCGTCCGCGGGGCCGCCAGCGTCGCCAGCGGCTGCAGAGGGGGCGCACGCGGCGTGCGGGCCGCCTGCGCCTGCGGCGGCGGCGGCTGCGGACGCGCCAGGAGAGCCGCCCGCGCCGGGCGAGGGCGAGAGGACGCCAGCATCAGAAACGTGCTTCAGTAGAGGCCCCAGCCCTTCGCATCGCACTTTCCGAAATAACGCCCGTCTCTCGCAACGACTGCGCCCGCAATCGTTGCGACGATTGGTCTCTTTTTATATAGTGGCCTTTGGGCCGTCCGCCACTCGGATAACCTCTCGGGCCCGGCCTCTCGTGGCCTCTTGGGGAACCTCTTGGCCATATCTCGCAAAGACTGCGCCCGCAGTTGTACGCAGTTGTTGCGACGACCTGGTGCCTTTTCGCCCCCCGACGCTCCCGAGCGCGCAGGCCTCCCCCCCGCTGATTTTGCCCCCCCCCAAGGACCGGCGACGCCCGGGCGCCGCGGGAGCTGTGGCGCCAGGACTCCGCGCCGGAGCGCGAGAACGTGTTTCGCGACATC